TAATTTGATGATCGATTTTGTAGTACTAATTTGATTGACTGTAGATCATCTGTAGATCAATTTTGCAGATCTAATTTTAAGGGTAACACTACTCTCTAAAATCACAACCTTTTCAATTAATTTATTTTAAAGTTTAATAATAATAGAATGAATCATCTAACTTTCACATTAATAGTTTTAACATTTAGAATAAATTTTATTTGAATATCTTTTGAGTCTTTTAAGTTCGCTTGTAATCTTTTTAATTATAATATTAAAGCAGTTTACTAAAAAATATCAGATATATCAATAGTAGTTTATTCTATTGAAAACTTCTTATATATTAAAAAACTACTAACATAATATATTGAAAAAAATTGTTTATTATTATAATAAATTGAATAATGACTTTTGGAATACTTATAAAGATTAATTAGATTTTTTAGTAAATAGTTGTGAATTGCGCTTTTTAAAATACACTTTAACACTTAGTCCTATATCATTTCTTTACTCCTTAATTCTGAATTTTGATTTACTGTGTAATAGTATCTTTATTAAATTCAAACTTTATAAACAAAATTTAAACTTAAATCTATTCAGCAAGTAATTAGAAAATTAAACTATTTTATCTTTGCAAATAATTGACTCAGCATTAAATTATTCAAGATAAACAATTATTTTTAATAGATGCTTTGATAATTCTTCGCTATCATATATTTTTTTAAAAAATAAATTCAAAGTAAAAAATGAAGTAAATAACTACTTCTAAATAGTTGCAGAAACTTCACATGAAAATATAGCTATTCCTAATAATTGAGACCCTTTGTATAAATTTCTTAACAATGTTTATAGCTCTATTTACTGCTGATGAATGGTATAAATCCTCAAGACACTTCCTAATAACAAAATTCCAAAACCTTCAAAAATTTTTAATAAAATGCTTAAACATCTTAACTTGCAGTTGAACAAATTACTTTGATATATCATCTATTATTTAGCCTTTCCAATACTACCTAATAGATGGAATCATACATTTAACTATCCCATTCCAAAGAGAGTATAATCTTAATAACACATGACTAATCACTTTATTAGAATATCCTAGAAAAGCTCTTATTAAACTCTTAATTGAAGACTGTAAACTATTCTAATATAATACAATGTTCTTGAGGGTTGAACTTTGCTGAACTTCCTTTCAAATCAACTTTTGAACCACTTCATATAATTGATAATATCAAGTATTATTCACTAGTCAATAAAAATAACTTATAGGTATTGATGTAAGACATATTAAAAGCTTATGATTGAGTAAACTTATTAATGCTAATTAGATCATTGGAATGAGAATGATTGCAGATTTCTTTTACTTTTATTTGCTTTATCTTTAAATTGTTTAATAATAGATTTAACCAAGTATTTATTCTCTTTGGAAATACTGATCTGTATAGAGTTATCTCTAAAATAGATTAAGGAAAGACTATATTATTGCTACACTTATAATCTACTTTTATGTAGAATCCATAGGTTATACCCTATGCCCATGACAACGGGGGACAAATTTCCTCCGGCCAAAATGATCACTCGCCATAATGTTAATGTTAAAGTTTTTTTTAGAGATTAGAATTTTCCAGCAGAATAATTTTTTTGGTTACCCGCAGCAATTTCGCAACGATTTTTGTTTTAATAAATTTGACCTAATTAAAAAAAGCTTCCATCCTTTCGTTTATAAATATAAACTTACAAGAACCGACGTAAATATTAATAATACATTTTACTATATTATTTTTATTTTTTTTATTGTGAATCATGAATCTGCATCAGTTTTTTTAAATACTTTATTTCAAGATTTTTTTTATTAATAACAGTCAAGAACGTTATTTGAACCACCGGTACTGATTGGTCATCTTCAAAGTTGCGCAAATTTAATTTGATTATAATTTTTGCGATCTCGACGACAATCATTTTTTTTAACCGATCTAAAATATGAAGTGACTGGTCTGAAGAATATACCAAAAAAATTTGTATTATTTTAAATTAAAAAAATTTATTTGTAAAATTTAATAAATATATATTTATAAATCATTACAGGTCTGCTTTCAATATCGTTTAAAAGCTCGTCAGGAAAACATTTTTAGCTATGCGTTTACAACTATTTGATAAAGAAAAGTTCTACAACATTAATTTTGAATTTCTTTAGATCATAGAAATAAATCGAAATCGTATTAACCGCATTCCATATTCTTTTAAAGATCACTAAATGAATCAGTCACACACATAACACAACTTACAAATATTTTTTTTTATTCGTAAATAATAAAAATAATGAAATATAAATCAAAATAATCAAAATCCCATATGATTTACTTCATTAAATATAAATGGTAAGTGTAAGTTTAAAGAAAGTTTCAGAATGATAATGATAAAATGACTTTATTTCCTCATTTCCTCATGATTACAAATATGGCTTAATCAAAGTTAAAGAAAGATTTATTGCTATGCATTCTAGATTTTTAGTAAATTTTTTGTTGTATCAATAAACTTAAATAAAGTAATATTAGTAAGCGTTATCATTTGTTATTCATACAATACAATTTTATCATCACAACACTATTTTAAATTTAAGAAACAATTTTTAAGCAACCACTTCACTAAATCCTTGTATAATTACCACTTATATAGTCACTCCCCACCTATAAGCATATTTTTTTTTATTAATGAACTTGAAAATTCTCTCGTCTATATTAATCATATCACACCAAATTTTTTTGGTACAGAGGGGTGTGGTTGAAATTATTGAATTTTATATAAGATTGCTTGAAAATTCCTTGTCATTATTATATAAAAATCAAATAGAATATTAAAAAAGGCTTTTAAATTTTTTGAATTTTAAACCTTATAGGCGCGTTGTCCAGTGTGAGCTTTTCTACGATTTGACAATTCTTACAATTAACAAAATTTAACTATTGGAAGCCGTTGTCAAGGCTACGATTGGCACAGCAACTGCGGTGCATATCAATATCAAATATGTCTGCTATATCAGATATCAAGTGTCTTATTTATTTTATTTATCTGTTTTTATTTATTATATTTGTTTTATTTATTATTTATTTGTTAAATTTATTATGTCTGCTAGTAAATTGAAACAACGATTAGATCGGGAATTCAATCTAGAGAAAAACAGAGAAAATTGCAAGTCGTAAAAGTTTCTTTCAAAGATTTAATTAGACTATTCTAGTTTGTGATGATAATTCTAAAGAAAAAAACTTGTAATATTCCTAATTAATAAACTTGTTTATTTTACACTTCATAAAGGTTTTGATGCGATAACTATAGCGAATCGTATCATAAATACGAACGATGAACTTTTCTGGAATTGATGATTTAGAAATTCAAAAAAAAGTCATTATCCCTACATAACATTGTTGGGAGATCGATAAAAAAATGAGAATTCATTGGTCTTAGTAGAGCATCACCTTTTCGTTACAAAATCATTAATTGCATTTTTAGCATTTGATTCTTAGTAAAATCTAACGAAAACATCTGGAAGACGTCTAAATTACAAAGTAGTACCACATTTTTTGGATAACCAAACAATTTATAATACGTCATCGTTCGTCTAAACTTAATTTTGGCTTAGCATCATCATATATAAATATGTTTTTATCTTTTAAATTCTTAATTAACAAAGAAAAAAAAATAAAAAACAAATAAAAAAGGTCTGAAATATTCCCATCGCTTTCTCTAACGCATGAATAATCTTAATTTGACACGAAAATCTAGCAAAGTTTCCAGAAACCTTCTTGTAAATGCCAAATTGCCTATTTGTTCGCAGTACTTCTGAGTATCTAGGTTTGCAACAGCTTCATCCAAAAGTTAAAGACTAGTTAAATGGGAGATGACGAGGCATTTTATAAAGCTATTTCGAAAAAAAAATTCAATTGGTTTAAAAGTTCATGTTATTTGCATAATGTTTTAATCGTACTTCAGCAAATTAATATTAATTTGCTTAAATAAGAGTCTAAAATCGTTTATATTTAAAATTAATGAATTAATGTAGACACTAGGCCATAGAGATTTTGAAAAAGATTTTGAAATAGAAATATTATCTTAACGTTTTTGAAGTTTATTGTTATTAATGAAATAATTATGTCAATTTGGCCGCAAGAAATGAAATTAAAAATACACATTTTTCGTACTTCTGAACGTTTGAACCCGAAAAACGCATAAAATATGTTTAGTTGTTACACCAATAAAGGATGAAAACGAAGCTGAATTAGATATCTATTTTTCAAAAATATCAAAATTATGAAAATGCAAATTTTTTATTGATAATATAATTTTTCTTGGCAAGTCCTTTTTTAATAAATAAATATTTTTGTTGTTAAATTGTTAAAATTATGATCAGAAAATCGAAGCGTCGTAAATATAATCGAATTATCGATACATAAACCGAATCTTTGAACCAATACTCGACTCGTGAAACAATTAATCGCGATTAATCGATTTCATCTTTTTAATCCAATATCTATCGTATTGTAAGTTCAAAATTTTAATAATTCACAACATTATGCAAAAATTCCCATATAATTTTATAAATTGGATAACTATAAGGCGAATTCTTCAAAGAAACGATATCCTTTAAATTTACGACAATGCAGAGATTCTTAAATGTCGAATTCTCTTACGAGAACTGATTAATAAAGCGAGATCTTATTCTACAGTCTAGGAAGGAATAGGAAAATCAATAAGTTTCGGTAGAGGCGCAGCATTTTTTTTAATTTTTTTAATTACTTTGCGATTTTCGATCGCAGTAATCAAAGTTTCTTTATTTTATTTATTTTAAGGAATCTTTTTCGAATATAAATACTTTGGAAGGAGTGTTTTATTTTGTTTTCATTTTTTTTGATCATTTTGTTATTTTTTATTCAAAAGCGATAAATTTTTTAAATTTTTTACTTTCCGTTTTGTTCTTTTAATATGGTTATTCTTATTTATTCCTTCACATTTAGGTTTGCTCGCTTTGGAAAGGCATAGGATAGATTTTTTTATTTTGTTTATCGACTTTTTCTGCATATTTTCTTGATCATTCCGTTAATAATTTCTAAATCTTTAAATATTCTATATATATAATTTTATTTATTCATTTTTTTGCGATCAATTCGGTTTTGGTAGAATCGATTCCAATACCTAGTACGATGGGTTGGGTTTAAAAATATATTTCTCGAAAAATATAATAATGCTGCGTACAAAATAGCCTTGCGAATAATATTCCAATTGGTTTAAAGTGCTCATTTATGCAAAGACTGTGCTGTGCCTTCCGCAGTATTAGTCACGTTGAACAAAATTATGTGATCTTGCTACGTAGAACAAAGGTCGATCATAATCTATTTGGAATAAAACACGGAGCTTTATTCCCGTTAAACTTTCTTTTTTTGAATAATTTCTATTTCATTGCATTGTGTCCTCAATTCGTATGGAATTAGTTAACAATGCATATACTAGAGCATTTGCGTTAACCGACTATAACATTTACAAAGACATAGACAAACGTCATGAATTTAGACAACAAACAATTTACGCTGACGAATCTCTCACAAACGAGGAAAAATCAGAGGCAATACGATTATTAAGTCAGGGTTTTGACTACAATAAAATTGCTCTTAATCAAGGAATGAAAAGAGTTTGTGAAAATTGCAAACAAGAATGTTTAGCAATAACATATTGCGAACATTGTATTCGAAATTATTTAAAATTAAAATTTTCAGAATGGACATCGGGAAATAATGAAATTGATAATTTAATAAAGAGATGTCAGATGGTAACAATTCAAACTTTTAGCATAGTTGAATGGATCCCATTCGATAAATTGCAAAATATCAAATATTTAACTAAAGGTGGATGTTCAGAAATATATACGGCAGATTGGATTGATGGAGGTTATAACAAATGAGATTCTATCAAAAAAATATTAATAAGGTATGGAAGACAAAAAGTCATACTTAAAAGATTAGAAAACGTCGAAAGTGCTAATAGAAGTTGGTTTGAGGAAGTATGTAATTTTAAAAGTATTAATAATTGTTGGTTATATATATATATATTAAAAAAGAAAGGAAGTAACTAATCAATCGAATTCTTATTTATAGGCTGAATCTCAATTAATATTGAGCAGCAAATGGGGGGATAGTTTCGCTCCATCTTATGGTCTTACTCAAGATCCACAAAATAAAGATTATTTTCTTGTAATGCACTTATTCAACATAGATTTAAGAAAATATTTACAACAAAATCATACCCAACTTACATTGAAACAAAGAATCAACATAATTGAAAACATAATCTATGCAGTTTTACGTCTACATCATGAAAATTCTATTCATAGAGATTTGCATTCAGGAAATATATTATATTCTGAATATAGTGGACATTGGTATATTAGTGATTTTGGATTTTGTGGACCTGCTGATAAACCATTAGAAAGTATATATGGAAATCTTCCTTATATAGCACCTGAAGTTATTAATGGAAAAGGATATACTTTTGCATCAGATATTTATAGTATCGGTATGCTCATGTGGGAGATTTTATCTGGACAACCACCTTTTGCTAATTATGACCATGAATATGAACTTGCAATAAATCTAATTAAAGGAATAAGACCACCAATCGTACAAGGAACTCCAATAGAATATAAAAATTTAATGATTAAGTGTTGGGATGCTGATCCATTAAAGAGACCCAATATTAAAAACCTTAATGATAAAATTACAGAAATACTAAAATCATATTATCAAAATGAAAATGAAGAACAAAACATTAATTTTGACAAGACAAATTCAAATGCAAAACCGGAACCTAATATAAATTTAAACTCTAATGGTTCATTAGTCAGAACATTTAGTAAACTTCACACTTTTAAGGATTTACCTGAACCAAGAAATGCCACTGAAGGTAAACTATTATATTTATTTATTATGTTCATTATTAAATGAAATTTAAATTTTTTTATTTTTTAATTTACAGAAGAGCAAGAAGGTAGTTATTTAAATTTTTTAAATATTAAAGTTTAATTTAATATTAATTTGATATTACTTTTTTTTTAAAAAAAGCTTACGATAGCATGCATTACAGTCTTAATATTTCAAATAGTAAGTATTACTTGTTTATATGTAATCATAAGAAATTTATTAATTAATTTGACTACCATAAAAAAAATAAAAAACCCTAAAGATTATGCAGACATGAACGTGTCTACATCAATGACTGGTAAGAATATATTTTGTTTTAAAATTACGTTATTTGATTTAATAATTTAAGAATTTATATAATTAATATTTACAGATATGAATATTGGCAAATCTAATAGGAATCCATTTAACTTCAAAATGGTAATGAGTCATTTCGTTATTATTAAGCTTTTTAAATAATGTCTTTATAATTTTTTTTTTTTTACTTTAATTAGAAAATCAAGAAGATTTTAAAATTTAAATCAAACAAAGATAAAGCTTATTAATGGCAAAGGTAAGTAATAATTTGTAGAGTTTATTTAATTCTTAATGTTTCTAACACTATATGCTTATTTTAGGAGTTAATCATACAAATGATAAATTGGAACGCATTATAGGCATAGCGAGCGATGTAAGAAATTGATAAATCTAATTATTTATTTCTAAAATTATAATATAATGATTAGATGATGATGAATATATAATAATTCAAATTCTCATTCAGAAGATCAAGATAATTTAGCAAATTCCTAAGATAACATTATTTTTAAAGTTTAAGTATTAAACAAAAATAATTTATTACAATGTTGAAAATTACTTATAGACTAGAAGTTTAAATCGGTAACTAAAAAAGGTCGTTTTTTTTTATTTTTTATACATATTTATTTGTACATAAGGTTATATAGTAGCAATTATTTTATTTGTCAATATACCTTAGATTTAATTAATAAATATAACTAATCAATTAAAGTACATAATAATTTATAAAAAAATACATCTTATTAATTAAGTAAACAAGAATTGTATGTAATAGAATGAAGATGAAAGTTATTATTAAGCAAAATATTTCATCACAGTTCCTTTGTCACTGAATTCTTTAATACCCATTTTGTGAAAATTTATTAGTTTGTGTTAATCATACCGGTTTTCCTTTATATATCGACCAATTATTTTTTATTTCGAGTTGTTGATGTTTCAACTAAATTCAAACAAATTGAAACTAACGCCCAAGTAAATAATAAAAAAATAAACTCTTATAGTTAGTTTAGTTTATGTATGTTATATACAAATATAATAATAACGTAAAGTTTAAATAAACTAAAATCGGTTATTTTTTAAGCTTTGTTGTGGTTGATACATAACATTACTATATTTCTATTTCGTTTTTCTGATAATAGTTTGTATCCATAACAATTCAAGAGATCATTAATTTTTATGAGTAATTCCACCATTATGGTTTTAAATTAACGATAATGCAGAATTCAACAATACCCATATTTAAAAAACAATACTACAATATGTTCTAATTCGCAACGGGATAGCAAATTTTATTCTAAATAATGAGGTTTATTCATTAGAAACTTTGTTACAAAGATATAAATGATAAAAAGTGATCGAACTGACAATAATAATAATAATAATAAAAGAATACAACCTGAAAGAAATTATTTATAAAAAGAAAAAATATATTTTAATCATAAAAATCATATAAAAAAAAGAGTAATTAATGATATATTCAGAAAAACTTTCCATGGATTCAGCATGATCGAAAACAAACGAAAAGAAAGGGCATCAATTTTTTTTGGAAAAGAATAGAAATAGTTAGATCTCTGCACTCTGAAGTGGCAGAACCCAGATCTTAACAGAAAGATTAAAAATAAAGAATAATTATTATAAAAAATAAAAAATAATTTAAAATAATACTCCTTATATTTGCAGAAATCATCCGACCCAAAGAGGAAACTTAGAAACCATTTCCATTTTTAAAGCGATCGCCTGGTTTCTTCATTTCAAAAATAAAAGAAAGAACAATCAAGTTTTTATTTTCTCTAACCTGATTTAGATAGGAAGGATAAAAATTAAGCAAATGGTACAAGCTTTTCTTTATTCCTTTCTCAATGTTCTTAATGTTAATAAGGAAAAATGGTTCGATTATAGAAAATCTGCAATTAAATTTTTTTGTAAACATGCCAATTATAGATTATATTTATAGAAAGAATAAACCTTATCATGAATGAATTCAATTTGTCAATAAAGTTTATTTGTTATTCAAAGATCAAAGATCAAGCAGGAGCCAATCTGATGTTGTGTTGAAAATTAAGTTTGAAATAGTGTAGAAATATTCCCTTTTTTATTTACAAATATTATGCTTTTTGAGGAAAGTTCCTTATGGAAATCTTTGGTTTGTTTACTGATACTCCCTTCACATTTTTTATCAACGAGTTCCTTAAAATTATTTCATTATGTTTTTAAGTCAATAGCACAAAAGCAGCAAAATATTTATAATCAAGTCTATGAAACTGGTAGAAATACTAATTAATATAATATAATACGATTTTCAGATGTAACATTCTAGAAAGTGATAACTAAAGTTAAAATTTTAACACTATGAGCGAATTCATTAAAGGGTAAAATAGTAATTACAATTAAATTACCTTATCGATAATATGAACAAGTGATTTATTAATTAACTTTTTCCTATATCTCTTTCACTCGCTCAAACGAATTACAGCCTTGAGAAAATGTGTAGTCGAGAAGAATTTTCATATATAATAAAGTTGAAGAATTTTGCACCGTCTATGAAAGATTGGAAATTTGTGTTATTCTTTGATTTTTCATTGGTGTTGAACGATTTGCATCACATGATCAATGCAATTGCTCTTTTTGTCATTTTAACATTCGACAATAGAGAATTTTTATTTACCACCTATCTCCAATTTGTTTTATTAATAATCATATAATAATATTGCGGCGTAATTCTTAACCAACAGGGCATGAACACCTCCTTTAATAAATTAATAATTTAAAAAATATCAGTACTTACTCTTCGGAGTTAAATGTTGATCGTCGCGAAATTAATACGGCTATTAAAATTATCTAACTAAAGGGAATATCGGGGAATTTCTATATAATTATTAAAATGTATCTGATGTAAAACCGACTCTTAAACCCAAGTATTAGGTCATCGGTCAACTTGTCCAGTGGTCAATTTGACCTATGTCGATCTTCTAAATCTCAGATCAACTTGCACTAACTATCTTCCCAAAAGTCTCCCGAGGAGTTGCGACCGGAATTAATAACAATACAACAATCTTTATTAAAAATAATTAATACATCGTATGCGTAATTTATTAACTAATCATTGTAACAATACCATGTATTCGAAAAGTACTAGATAAGTAACTTTTATAATATAAGTGATCGTTTGAGACAAAAATGCATCAATTAGATAACTTTAAAAGGAATATGAAGAGGTCATTTGTAAAAGAGAACGTTGAAAACTTCTTTTATGTTGAACTAAAAGCATGTTCGATTAAATAAAAGAAGTTAAGAGTCAACCCAGTAGTATATTTATGCGGTTTTCGGAATGTTGATATAAAGATTTTTCGGAAAAGTTGCAAAAAATCGCCGATAAAAAACTCAAGCCTGATTTTACATGACAAGTAATTCATCAAATTGGTCATAATATTTTTATTATTCACTTTAAAATTTGATATTATAGAAGTACTCACATAAAATAAAATTTTAATAAATTCAACTAATTTATTTCATGCGTAACAGTTCTATAATACACAGTAAGTAAATATAATATTATTGTGATTACAGCAAAATTCATAATGTGCAGGACATTCGGCAAATTTGTTGCCAATAACTTATCGGGTTGTCGGGTTTATCGGCATAACAAAAAAAATACAAAATAAACGTGACATTCATAATATAATAAACATTGTAATAGCCAATCGTGATGCATTATTATACATAAAATTTTAAGTTTCACGTTTCTTTTTTTTTATACTAATGTTTACATAATGCCTAAATTAAAAACTAAATGAACATTTTCTCTGGTCTGGTTAATAGTTGAAAAAAGTTGGAAGGTTTATCATATAGAAGAATAGCAGGACAACTTATCATTAGTAAATCTTCTGTTTCTAGGACTTTTTTACAATTTCAAAAATATGGATGTGTTGTGTGGTAAATTTGTCACATTTAGAACTAGAATGGCTAAGCATTTGATGTATTAAATTATTTTTAATAAAGTGCTTAATAAAGTTAGTGATTTACATGAGATTTGAAGATCAGCATAGGCCAAATTGACCACCCGTGGTGACCAATATCAGCTGGCCAAAAGTTTCTGACTGATTTTGACTGATTTTGACTGACCGGTTGACCAAACAATTTTTAATTATAAAACCAAGAATTCTTTGCATTTAATTAACAATCATTTTAGTGATGTAATTTTTTATAAATAAAAATTTTAATTTATGTTTAAAAAATAGATCGCGATAATGCTGCATAACTAAATATGAATACAACTTAATATGCAATCAAGTTACCCAAAAAGAAATAAGTAAAATATATAAAAAATCAGAAGTTTTAGCAAATGCTATGTTAGCATTATTTAAAGATAAATTAAATTATCATAGAATTTATATTATTATTAAATGTGTCGGTCAACCTGTCAGTATAACCGGTCGGTCAACCAGTCGGTCGGTCAAAGGCAATTGCCGACTGTTACCATCCCTAAATGTGACCATAATTATGCGACTTTTATTAGCGAACAGGTATTTTATTTAAATTTTATCTTATTATAAAAAATTTTATACTTTCATAATATACTTTTTATAAATGCATACACTATATAAAATGCGCGATTTTGCTCAATTCCAAGGGCGTGAGTTTATAGAGAGTTGACTGGTTATTAATAATAATATTAATAACAATAATAAAATAAAAATAATAATTTGAATTTGCAAAATAAAGATTTTTTTATTTAAATAAAATTAAAGTAATTGTTTAATTACAAAGGTTGTAACTTATTATAAAAAATAAATTTTATAGCTTTCTTTAAATAATTATATAACTCTACTTTAAATTTAACTAGATATAAGTTTAATAGTCTAATAAAATTTGGAATTCCAATAGTCCAATAGTCCAAAAGGCCATCACTGACTGGTGAACATACAACTTCGATGCGATGGTCCCATATTTAGCAAAAGAAGTATTTAATTTACAAATAATTTGAAAACAAATCAGAATTGGTGTAGGAAATTGCTGCCTTATAATTATGCGAAATGTCTAACAACACTTCCAATATTGATTGTTGATTACCATGATTTTATCGTGCCTCATAGGTTAGAATGTAATCTTTGTTATAATTTTGTTTTATTGATTGGTTATGGAAAATTTCATAAGACCACACATTGGGTTTTCTGGCAAAAGTTGCTTCATACGCTATTTTTCTTACACATTACAGAGACTCTATGGAACGTTTAGCGAAAATGTTAGCGCCTTTAAAAAGGCATTAGATTCATTCATTGGATGTTTACTATCAAGGTCAATCTCTGCAATTGAAGTATTACATTTTTCAAGGATCCAAGTGGAAAAAAAATAATTTAAATACTTACGAAAATAAATTACTTTTTCTTGTTGAACAAAGTGACAATAATGATAATAACATTGACAATACCCTCAATCATCTTGTGAAATTTATGCGACAATACGGAAGAGAAGCGCATTAAACTTTTGCTGATTTGAATATTGCGTCTAAACTTTTCGATAGGAGAGTGGAAATGGTTATTATGGAACTTTTAGAAGATGAATATTAAATATTAACTTCGCATGACCCAAGTCATAAATGCTGTCAAAAAACAGGTACAAAGATGTTGACTTAATATGTTTTGCCATTTTTTGTAGGAAGAAAAACAGAGTTGACGTTGATCCGGTAGAATTCAACAAAGCACAACCATCTATCGATCATTTCTTAATTCTGAAATTTTAGGCACCAAGATTCTTGTTTGGGCGCAAGATTCGGCGAAAACACGTCAAAAATGTGTTACTGGAAAGCTTAATTCTAATGATTTCATAAGCAGTCTATAAAGTAGATATAGTAGTGTAGCTAATGTTATATAAAGCTTCTAGCTGCTATTAGGGTGTCTGTTGATCTTTTTTTTTGCAATTTTAGCATAACCAACATTGATTAGTTTCTAACTTTCACTTAAAAAAAATGTTTACACATCACATATACTTGTTAAATATCGAGAAAATTATATTTTACGAAAAAAAGTGTTTATGGTTCTATTTTCAATATAGAGTTGATAATGAAAGGAAGACTCCCTATCTGTTAGTTAAATTTGAACTATCAGAAAGGTCTGAAATATCTGTTAGAAAAGATAAAATATGATCGTTTGGAAAATGCTTATTGTCAAATGTTTATATTAATAGTTCAGACGTTCTGAATTAGCAACTGCAAAGTATTAATTTATGAAGGAAATGTATACATCATATAATACTATACAAAATCTTAATAGATAGTTAAGTTTACGACTTCTAATTTGCGAAGAAAGTAAATATGGGCAAATAGCGTTCTGATTATTCGAAATTTGTGCTTAAAAGATTTACATAGCAAACAAAAAAAAAAAATAGTAAAACTTATCATAATTATTTATAAACTGTCAAAGATAGTAATTTACCTACTCTGCAAGTTAAAAATTGACACTCGTCGTCTAAATTAATATTTATGTTTTTTGCAAAAATTAAAATAAATCTCTTTTTTAGAAAAAATCTGGAATTTGTCTGTCTTAAATTTTTCATATCGT